CTTGTTTGAGGAAGAGCCTCACGTTACCTCTATTTTTGTCAATTTGTCAAAGTAGTTTCGTAGCTCTGTGGGAAGTTTGCCAGACATTCACGGTCACCCCATAAGAACCTTTGGGCTCTTTACTGAGGAATTGTTTACCTAGAGCTTCCTTCCTCACAGCTTCTTAACTAATTTGAGCCTAGTTGTACAGTACACATTGGATGTAGCGTTTTGGTTCAGATTAAGACTGCTTTGGAAGCAAAATTCCCAGTTATCACCACCTACTGTTCTTTGGTTTGCATTGCAGAATCATTTCAAAGCACTCAGACTGAATTACTTTTGGGTGAAAGTAAACCATAAGATACCCTCCAAGAGCATACCTAGTGCTGTCCCATTGCTGGGGAGTGTTCAGCTCATGGAACCAAGTTAGAGCTACCCCAAAGTAAAATTCTCAACAAGTGCAAGTTGTGTTAATGTTGGGTCCTCAGCACCAACTGTTTTGTTCTTCAGATTTGCTCCTATTGCTCTGCATTCCTGGCTAATGTGTGTATAGTCATGTATAGAGATAAATATGCAGCACTCAATTATTCATGACCACTGTACTTGCTTCAGTTGGAGTCCAGCTATTTGAGCCTAAGTGAGAACAGGTAATATCAAAGTAGCTGACAATTTGAGTTCGATTTGGAAGTTGGAACTTAAACAGTAATTAGGTTAGTGAGCACCAGAGCTATAATGCAGCTGTTTTCTGTCTCAGTTGCCTTTTGCCCTTTCCTAATTTATTAATCTGAATTCTCCATTCTCTAACATGCTTATTCTTGTGACCCAGTCACTAACCCAAATCACCACAATATTCTGACATCTCTTATGTGCTGGCTGCGCTCTTTCCCAATTCTCACCTCTTCAACCTTTTTTTGACTTACCAGCTTGCAAAGGTCTGTACAGGCTGTGGCTGGTCCTGAGCATGATGTATGTTTTCTGACTGCCTACTTTTTGCTGGCAAAAATGGATGATGTTTTGCAGCCACCAAAGGCACCATGCTTCCTGAGATACTGCCGCAATTGGTAAACCCTATCTTTACTTCAGTGAGAACATTAATGGGTTTTCCCTGTTCTTCTTGGTCATTGATTTTTGTGGAAAACTTGTGGTAGCACAGAAGAAGAAATCTCAGTGTCAGATTTACTTAAAAGGTATTGGGGAGGGGGATCAGAAAGTAGAATGAATAAGTAACACGGCATCATTAGTTTTGTTTCCAAAGACAACCAGGATAAAAACACATCCTACTGTGAAAGCTTTATTTAATTGTTCACCATTCCCACTTGAAAAAGGAGAGGATTTGGTTATTGTTATGTCAACGCTTAAATGGATTGTCAAGTTAAACACTCCAAATTTGAATTCCCAAAGCATAGTGATAGTGTCTAACTTAAAGCAATGTCTTTTGACAGTAGCTTACCAAAGACTGAGGTGCCTGAAATGCTGCTATGTAGGCTGCTCAGAAAGCACGGTCTCTTGAGGATTTGTGTGAGTTACTAAGTTTTCAGTCATGCCTTCCAGGCATCTGGGGACCTCCCCAGATGGTCCCCACGAGCTTGAAAACAAGGAAACCCACCAAAATTCTACCTCACCAAAGGGAGAATGTTGTTACTTCTCCTCCCATAGGTCCTACTCACCAAAATGTGTATGTCAGGAGATTGTTCTTGTCTGGTTTTGAAGGGGAGGGGAAGGAAGAGATGTCTTTAAACCAGAGGAGCCTGGAAGTAACCAGAGAATAACCAGCCAGAATATTGTCACAGCTTTAAAACAGCGAAAACCACTAGGTAACTTAAAGAAGGGGTAATGAAGTTGAGGCAGAAGCTTAGAGTTCAGTCTCAGCCAGGTGAAGGCTTGTCTGGCTGCAGTCATGAGGAACCGCCTTCTCTCTGCAAACAGGGTGGTGTTCGAGTTGTACTCAGCATGCTAGTTCTGTGAGTGATGATATATTTTATTGGTTTCAAGACATAATGGCAGTCTGCTCAGTACACCTTTATCATAGTGATGATCTGGTCTGTAGTTTCAGGTCCTTGTGTAATCAAAATTAATGATAATGTTTTAAATGGTGTGTTTGGATAGCATCTACAAAACGGAGTTGTGGTGTTCTTTTCCCAGTTCTCTATTTCATTTATCCTTGTCCCATGTAGTCTCAAGTGGGACAAGTCTTTTGTATCTTTGTCTGATAGAGCAGTTTCCAAAGTTTCCCATCCCTCTTTATTCCCACCCGAATTCCCTGGCTAACCTTGATGTTGCAAACAAACCAAACTTAATAGATACAGGCTTCTCCCATATCCTTAAACTACAGGCTTTCTGTTCAGAGAAAAATCAACGTATTTCTCCAGTGTTTGAATCCATGTAAATCCTTGTGTGCACTTTTCTTGGGGAAAAAGTTCTTCTGAAACATTGTTATAAGCAAAATTGTAGTCTTCTGTAATATTTTTTTTCCAATGATGTAAAAGCCAAATGTGGTGGGACTGGGATTTTTAGGTAGGCACATAACACATTTTGAATAAATGGAAGTCAGATAATTATCATCTGTCTTCCTGTGTAATTATTTAATGTTTTCATTTTTCTTCTAAATAAACCTCCCACAGGAGTGTTTCAGTATTTGCATTGCACCTGGTTTGGGGCTGGGGACTAGAAGAGGGGTGTTTATTTTTAGACTGATCACCTACTTATGTTTCAGCTAGCAGTGTCTCTTGAATGTACCTGTTTTCATAAAAACCTCCAGAAGAACCTAAATACTTATAATTTTAAAAAATTTTATAGCTCTGTGTGTCATCTGGTTGTAAATCACATCCCAGAAGTCTCATTAATTGTACAGATTACAAGACTAAAAAGAACAGCTGCATCACCTGTTAAGAGTTGTACTGCAGAATGAAAAAAGCCCCTTCCCTCATCCCTACCTGGGTACTGTGCATCCCTCCCCGGTTGTGAGCGGAATGTGCTGGCCTTGCAGTGTTCAGTGCAGCAAGTGAGAAACTGGGTGAGGGGAAATATTGCTGCTGCTCTACCTTATCCTTATTTTCCCCCTCCTCTTTGTAATCCCTTCCCTAAGGACATGCTTTGTTCTCAGTGCTGTGTTTTCTTAGAATAGGTGACAGTCAGTGACTGAGAATAGTGAATCATAGAATCACTTTGGTTGGAAAAGACCTTCGAGATCATAGAGTCCAACCTTTAACCTAACCCTGCCATCCCACCACTAAACCATGTCCCTAAGCACCTCATCTATCCTTCTTTTAAATACCTCCAGGGATGAGGACTCTACCACCTCCCTGGGCAGCCCATTCCAGAGACTGACAACCCTTTCGGTGAAGAAGTTTTTCCTAATGTCTAGCCTAAACCTGCCCTGGCACAGCTTCAGACCATTCCCCCTCGTCCTATCATCTGTTACCAGGGAGAAGAGACTGACCCCCACCTGGCTACAGCCTCCTTTCAGGCAGTTGTAGAGGGCGATCAGGTCTCCCCTCAGCCTCCTCTTCTCCAGACTAAACAGCCCCAGTTCCCTCAGCCACTCCTCATATGACTTGTGTTCCAGACCCCTCACCAGCTTGGTTGCTCTCCTCTGGACATGTTCCAGCAATGCAACATCTTTCTCGTAGTGAGGGGCCCAAAAAAGTGAAGGCAGTTTGGACTTGCATGCCCTCCATTGGATTCTCTGTCCTTTAATGGTGCGTGCTGCACACAAGTTTCCATTAAACTTGTAGTCAGGAAGTGCAGCCAGAAGAGACGTACCTGCTAACAGAATATGGTTTTCTTAACAAATGCAATGAAATCTTCAGAAATATTGTCTGGAGCCAACAACTTTTAATGCCGAAATTAGTTAGCCTCCCAACTTAAGGGATACACTGCACTACTAGAATATGATTACCAGCTTGGGAAGTGTGTATAAAAATATTCTATGCTTTGTGCTTATACATAAAGTATACAAGGTTTGAGCACTTTCAGGGTCAAGGAAAAAATATTTAGGTTATTTGTGAAAAGAAATGTACTGCTTGGTTTGTTACTTCAATATTATTTTCTTAAACTTTCACACAGAATGTTTTTCCTCAGTAAGATGCTGCAGCCCTTTGGTGGTGAGTGCAGTAACTGCTGGTAAATAACATGGGCCTTGTTGGTATGTTTCCTTTGCTGTCTCATATGCTTTAGAACTCATTGTATTTCCCACTGTGTAATTATATTTTCTACTAGGAGTGGATGGTTGGTTTTGTTTTGGTGTTTTTACCATTGTACTGACAGCCAAGTAGGCAGTCAGAAAAGATCACTTGTTGGTCAGGTACATCACCTTGCTGTTGAACTCAGAATTTGACACTCAACTTGGCTGTGCGTGACGTCCACCCTGTTTTCGCTCTTTCCACAAGCAAACCTAAGGTGATGTATAACCTCTTGGAGGGTGTGGAGGCGGTAATATCTAGAAGACAGTTGGAAGAGGGATTCCTGAAACAATAAACTTTGCTATTAGTAGTAAGATACTAACTGTCGGCTTTTTTTTTTTTTTTTTTCTTGCATTTGTGTATATATATGAAAAACATTGCTCTAAAACCGTAGGACCATCCTAGCCTTCAGTAAGGTTCATGAAGGCTTAACAGCAGGAAACTAAATAAAGAGGTGGCCAGAGGAATAAATGAGTCAGTAGCAAGTCAAGATGTGCCTGTACTGTTGCCAGCCCTCTTCAGTTTTATTAACTGGTTTATGTAGGTAAAAAAGATTTATGGACCTGTCTGTGTTCCATCCCTTCTTCCAAATAATCTTGAACTATTTAGTCAATTTGAACCAAGACTGTCAGAGAGCAGAGGACGAAAATATAATTAAGCTCCTTCCCTTTAGGGGAAGGGGCAGTTAAGTAGAGGGCAAAGACCCAAGTGGTTCCTCTGCAGTGGGAGAGTCTGTTCTGTGAGTGCAACGTCTGTGTAGTGGCCGGGCAAACCATTGCCTGTGTCCTCAATCAGCCTCTTGCCCAGCAGGTATTTGGGTGTCAAGGCAGGAAACTAGCCATGGTTTGTGGGAGCTTGGAAATGAAGAAGTTTGGGGAGGTATGGAGAGGGAAGGCAGGGGTGCATAAAAAAGACACATGTTTTTAGGAAAATTAACATCATTAGTTCCAGGGAGCTCTAAATACTTGTAATTGCTGTAAGAATCTAATGTAGATGGTTGGAGGGAAGCTTCAGCATTGCAGTCACTGGAAATCTGTCATTTGGTATTTCCTAGAGAAGGGCACATTGGTTCCTTTTGTGATGAAGGAAGGGTGAAAAGAAATGCAATTTGTGTTTTGCTGCCAATTCAGCAAATCTTTTTTATCACTAGCTCATAATATACTTGCATTGTTTTCCACTGAAGAAAATAAAAGCTGCTTTTGTGTTCTTTTTTTCTTCTCCTTCTCCACATTTCCCCCTATTTCCCAATCTGTGTATGTCAATATCCTGATGTTCATTCCCAAAGATCATGATGTACCAAGCACCTACTGCCAGGTGCCAAGGCAGCTCTGCATTCGTAGGCAGTGCCACGCTCTGCTCCCGGTGGAAAGCGTCCCTGTAGCAGGGGAGAGGCACGTCAGTCCCCTCGTTTCTGCCACAGTTCCCAGTAAGCAGAGCCGTCTGGTTGTGACTCAGTGAGCACGGATGTGGATGCGTGTGTTTTGCTCTGGTTTTTTTAATGTTGTTGAAATCCACGCCCAAGTTATTTGTTAAAAGGGGGCAATGTTAAAGACTAACTGAAATTTAATGTAGAAAAACATCCCCAGTAGAGAGGGGAAGCTTGGCAAGGTGCATTTTGTGCACTGTTACTGCAGCTCAACAGGGCGAGAGAGCACTCGTGGGCTTTGCTCTTCTATTGCTGTGAATCTTACTTGAGGGACTGTTGCAAAAGCATCCATCTGAAACTGCAGGGTAATAAATGGTAGAAGAAACTCATGATGTAACAGAGGAAGAGAATAGTTACACCAGTAGCCAAATTTTTGTATGACTTCTTTATTATTAAAAGCTTGGCAATTTCGTCTGCACAGATACTTGGGTTGTAACAATGTGACTACCCAGAAAATGACACGAATCTTATTTTTTTTCAAAAAGCAAGTGGCAAAGGCAGTTTTGTCTTGGGTAGAGTGGTCTGCTAAGAAAAATTCAGGCTGTTAGGGGAGGTTAGGTGTATTCTGAAGAATTTTGTTAAGCCCTCTCTTTCTGTTACCCTACAATATGTAGGAATGAAAAGCTAAACACTATGATGGTGAGATTTAAGAGTGCTTTAATTGTCTGCTGTTTGTTCACATTTTTTTGCCTTTACAGAGGTTTGATGAACTTGCTTTAAAATCAGTTTACTCCTCCATCCCACATGTGTTGTAGTCCCAGCCCTACAATTTTAGTAGCAGACTGGGATGTCTTTATAGAGCTCCGTTCACTTCGGCAGCAGTCCTTACAAGTACTGCAGTCTGCTCTTGCATGACAAATTACAGTGTTGGACGGGCCGTGCTGGATGTTTTAACGTTCCCTCCTTGTTTATTATAGCAGCTATGGCCAACTTCTATGTGCAGTTACCACTTTTTTATGGAGAGGTTTCCTTATGAGGTTTTGGACTGAGGATATTAGTATGGTACGATACGTTGATGTGTAACCTGGCCTCTGAAGGAGAACTAATGCTAACCTTTAGGAGTAGACAAATTATTAGTAAAAAAGCCTTTATCCTTGTGGTGGTCCGCCAGCTTGGTTAGACAGCCACACCTTTCTCGTGCTCTGCTGAAAGCTTTTATTTTCTTAACTTTTTCCATACTAACAAAGACTCCAAGAAACTGAAAACAGTCCCTCAAACTACTATTGCTGCCTTCAGATGCAATTCTCATTGGCTGTCTGCCTGGTGGGTGCAACGAGCTTCAGGCACTTTCTTGACTGAGAGCATCTCTTGTCTGTTCTCCTTCCAACATGAGGTATAAAGTACATGTAAGTTCTTGTAGGGCAGGTTGGGATCCTCACATGTATTGCAAGTTCCTTTGCCAAATCACAGGTCTTGTTCTGCCCTTGAACTTTATGCAGGCATCCTGTTTTAATCAGTAGCGAACTTGGAATTAATTTGCATGCGTTCACTCTGACTTCAGAAAATCTGATCCATAGACTAAAGACAGTGAGTTGACTTGATGATCTCTGCAGGGTGAATTTAAGTCCTAGATAAGGTATAAGTAGTTACAGTGGAGAATGTAATGCCTTTCAAGTTCAATTAGGTAAAACAGAGGTTGCAGATTTGTTTAAAATGATACACGCCTTCTATTTCATATTAGTGTTCTTGTATATTCTAAATATGGAAAACTTTGAAAAAGGTTAAAGCATTCACAGTTTCACAGCAGTTATCTTCTTTTTTTTTTTTTTTTTTTTTTTTTTGGATAGTATTCCTGTACTAGTGAAATTAGTCTGCATGCAGTGGTGGTACAACTGAAAAGAGGGATTAATCTGGATCATGGGGTTTCCAACACTGGTATATTTGTAATGCTATCTGGGAATCAAGACAAAGTTTTCCAAGTTCTTCATCATTCACAAACTCAACAGGGTGTTTCCTCTTTTGTTTACAGACTTGATATTTGCAAGTTCCCTGCCTTGACAGTCATCATCATGGATAGTGGTAAGTTTGTTAACTTAGTAATGAGTGTGCATTTGGCATTAACCAAAACTGTCCTCTGCTCAAAATCCCAGTCAGTTTGCATAAAAAATGTCCTCTGCTGTTGAACTGATTTTGGTGTTACATATGGTCCAGATCTTTGCTCACACTAAACTGAACTGGAATCATACTATATGCAGACCATAATAATCATCACAATCTCATTTGTGGATCTTTGAAAGCTGTCTGCAGAGTGAAGACCACAGAGTTGAAATTCCAGCCTTGTGTACTTTAGTTTAGCTGTTCTTAAGCTTGCCCCAGTAACTCCAGAATCATAGAGCAGAAGTCACTTTTAAGATTTACATGTAAATCCTTAAAACGTTTTTCTCCCTTCTGCCCTGTACAAACCAAGTAGTTTTATTAAGGTCACCTACAGAAATACTCAAATCTATCAGTAGCTGCAGCATCGAATTTAAAATGAAATGCTTATTTCTAGTATTTGGTTGTGGTTTCCATCTGCTTGGGTGTTGGTAAGGAGTCAGGAAAAGGAAGCCTCAATAATGTTCTCAGTAGAGCTGGTTTTGGTGTCCCAGATGCCCTGGGCTTTGCTTCAGTAACACTTCTGTGTTCCAGAAGACTTTTCCCACACTGCTACTCCCTGTTCCTTGTATCATTAAAGACCTGAAGCCTATTTTCTTTGCCTGTGACAGCTTCAGCTGGCAGGCTGAGACATATTTATCCTCTTGTGTCCTTGCCTGTCTCTTTCTGATTCTGATTTAATTTCACATTGCTAGAGTATCTATTCGCTATTATGATAGCACACAGGTTTTTCTGAGAATGTGTAATAGATTGATGTGACTGTATTACTCCCTTCCATAATAGGAAGTCAAACTAAGACTTTGGAATGTTTCTTTTGTAGCTTTCTGATGCATAAAAACTTGCTAAAAGCCCAGTATTACAGTTACACACAGAGCACAAGCATGTTTGAAGGAATAAACATTTATTCCAGTGCATTAAATTTGGGAGTTGTAGGTCTTCATCTATATTCTACAAAAATTGAGGGAGAAGAAGAGGATTTAGATCTCTTTTTTTTTCCTGTGTCTATCTTGCATAATGCCAAAATCATAATTTTCATTTTTCCTTTATCTTGTATTTGCTAGTTATCTTTGTAACATAGTGGAAAGTCAAGTTTTATCTTGCTTCATTACTTTATTCTTGCCACATGCAATTCTTCCCTGATCATCTTCAGCTCCACAGTAACAGGTGCAGTGAAGTCAGCCATGCTGTAGCTTGGCTGGGTAGGCATCCAACCCAAAGCAGGTTTTTTTACACACTTCTATGCAATTATAACTGAATGTCTACATGTTGATGGTCCTGGAATACTAAGAAGTCAAAGTGGTTTCTGCAATATGGTTCCATTATCTCTTTTTATAGGATTCATCACGCAGTGACTGGTTCTCATTAAATCACTGTGTTTCAATCAGTATCTCCATCGAGATTGCTTTGATCAGTGTATGTTTTTATGTTTCCTTGCTACATTTGTATTGACTTCTGAACAAAATTTAAAGTCACTAGGAGTGTGCAGAGCTTTAAAAATGTCAAATCAAAACAAACAAATTAATATTCTTCATTTTTTTCCAGCTTTGCAGGGTCAAAAGCCATTTGTGGTCTGGACTAATCACAGATCATTATTTATCAGATACATTCAGAATTGATATGGGGTGTGGTTTATTGTCTTCAGTGGGCTTTTTTGTCTCTGTGATATATGCATTTTCTGTACTGTATTGTGAGAGAAGAGAGACACTTTCTGAATATGAATTGCTAAATGAAAAAGTTGTTCTTTTTAGAAAGCCATATATTGGCCATTCTTGAATTATTTTAATGCTTTGCTGTTCTTCATCGGTGCATTTCAAAGCAGAAACATATGCTTAGCTCTTTTTGGAAAACTAAACTATTACCTAGGAACTCTACCCATTGTGTATCAAATGTACTATTTTGTAACATACCAGCTTTTAAACCTTTATTCTCAGCTTGCTTCTTTGGTAAATTGGAAAGTGCATGCAGAAATGAAGATTTGTATGTTTTTTCTGAGAGCCAGAAGCTTTAAATCGGGGTATTTTCAGCTACCTGCATTTTCCTCTTTCCTTTTTTTCCCTGTGCATCCAGTACAAAGCTGTCATAGTTTGTCTGATTGCTGTTTACAGGGACAGATTCCAGCTGTGAAATGAAATTCCCTAGGTTTTATCTGCTGAAAGAAGGGAAACTTGATTTATAGTGCATTATTTACTCTTCAGTGGCTCCACATATGGACACTGTTAAGAGAGTCTGGGCTGTAGCTTGTTCCACTTCAGCAATGCCCACAGGAGGAGTGGGTGAGAAGTAGGCAGAGCGCAGGCACTCCATCCCCATGCATGGCTGCGTGCTGGCATCCTGATGTGGACCAGTCCTTCATCTCTTCACATTTAAGCGATCGCTGAGGCATGCTGAAAGAAACCAAGTTCTTCATGCCTAGAGGGGAGCCAGGAGAAATTGTGTGGGAAGTGGAAAGAAGCCATCCTTTTTTGCTTGCCTTTTTGATGAGATTTTTGAGTATTAATTTCTATGTTATTTAGCTAGTGAACTTACACAATAGGAGATGCCCGTGTGCTCGCCTGTGGTGCTGTAGAAAACCAAAATTGCAATAGGTGCAGTTGTAGAGTTGTATGCACTGAACCCCTGGTAACAGCACTGAACCCCTGGTAACATCATGAATAGTGTAATTTGTGTGGTGCATGTACGTACCGCATGTGTTTAGCTGTGGAGGTATAGGAGTGACTGGTATTTTGGAGTTTAATCTTCCAATCTTAATTTAATCCTTGGCAAAAGGAAGATGACTGTCTAATGATTTATAACAAAAGTATACCACAAAGACTAAACAAAATGAAATTAAAGTAGAATAGTCTAATTATGATAGTAGCCTCATTGCTGAAAAATACCACCCCATCTATCTTATGAGAAAGCAAAAGTATAGTGACCATCTTTGTAGACTTGCTGCCATCCTTTTTTAAAGTTCAAAGTCAGACTATTAAGAAAGAAAAAAATACAGCAAAGTGAATCATATAAAATTATAGATGAATCATTGCTTAAACCAGTCTCCATCCCTGAGCAGACAGTGAGACTTTGTCTGCGTAGCTGTATCGGTGGTCCCAGACTAGCTGCAAATGAACCAATACAGAAATGATTGCATAGGTTGGGAAAGAGGTATGGGCGTATTGGTGTGGCAGCGCGTTGAATAATCAGCCCCTCTTGCTGGCAGCGAGAGCCCAAGAACAGTGTTGCACTGACGTAATGTTCTTGCTTCCTGACCTGAAATACCTGGAGAACTTGTGCATCATTCACTGCAGGTGTACCTCCTGGGTCTGCTGGATTTTGGAGTGTTCCAGTTGTGGCATGCTACTGTAAAAATCATTAGGTCAGGGAATTTGAGGGAAAGCTGGATCAGAAGAAAAGAGGCTGCTTCCAGCTCTCTTCTCTGAACAGAAAACCAAGGAAAGCAAATCAAGAATACCCTTGTCAGAATGCCGGTTGCCTTTTGGGGTTGTTTTATTTGATTCATCAAATAAGGTGAGGTTTTGTGTATGATTCAAGAAAACAGAAAGAGGCTACTTCCCCCACACACCTCCAAAAGGGTCACTATTTCAGGGTTGATATTTCTGGAGTGAAGGGAAGCAAGCCTACTTCAAAGTTGCTTAAGAAAACTTACAAACTTTGATAAATGCAGCTGTTCTGGTGTGTATGACTCTGGGTAATATTCATAAATATTTATATCAAAAACTTAAGAGTATGCTGGCTGTGATGCCCTCAGGCAGTTGCAAATATCTTTTTGGGTGTTTGCAAGCAGGATTTGTTTGTTCTGTGTCATCTTAGTTTAAGAAGTCGCCTGTGCTGAGCATGTGCCTGTCTCTTCTGAGTGCTCTTCTTAGGCACCGGCTTCAGTCTTGCTTAAGTATACATGACCGTGATGCTGAATTGAGGTCCATCACATGTATGACGTTATAGCAGTAACTACTGAAATTGTAGGCCCAGCTACTTGCAATAGTGAATAAAACTAGGAAGGGCCTTTTATCATATTAAATAAAGGGGAGAACTTTGAAAAAGCCCTTTATTTCTCAAAAGCACATTTTCTTCGAGCAGTTTTAGCATGATGTTTTGGGTATCTATTTTAGAAGTGACCTGTGTTGTCTCTCCTTTTATTCAGTGTTCTTAACAGAGGACAAAGCCAATTCTGTGTTAAAAAGATACCCGAGAGCCAACACATTTTTGGAAGAATTAAAGCAAGGTGACATAGAACATGAATGCAGAGAAGAAATCTGTAGCTATGAAGAAGCAAGAGAAGCATTTGAAAATGAAGAAAAAACGGTATGTTTTCTTGTGTATTTGAAGATGGGTGGAGTGTATTGGTACTAAATTTTTGGGTGTGCTGAGTGCTTGTGTGTTTTCCAACATTACATTAGATTTGTTTTTCTTTTTGGCCTATTTCTTTAAGCAAGTAAGGTGAACAGTGGAGATGGATAGACTGCATAGCAATAATTTTTGAATCCTTCATCCCAATTAAACTGAATTTGAAGGGGGTAGAAGTCTCAAAGATAATTATGCTCTTAAGTCTTGTGAAAATCAACAGCTGGGAAGAAAAGGAATATGAATTAATACTCCCACTTGAGAAAAGGTGGGCAAAATTGTCATCTGTTTGGCCGCACTATTACCCAAATAGCCTGTGTCCTGGTTCTCCTATCATCACACACTTAAGTGTGACCTGGATATCATGAATGCAGTTGTCTTGCTTGGAAGAAATGATGGGATTGGGACTGTTATGTAGAATATACAGAAGTAGAGGGCACAAGTCTTCACTTATCTCACTATGTGGAATAACTTGTTTATTGAATGTGTTCGCGTAAAAGGAGTGAGCTACTCAAAAAGCTTTCCATTTAAAATACATCTTTGAATCCCAGGTGCTGGTGTAGCTGGCCAAAGTGTTCAGTGTTCAGACTATTCGTGTCTAAAAATAAGCAAACTCTAATGGCCTTATTCAGGCTAAAATCTGTAAGCCCCCCAGAGAGTATTTTTAAGCAGCAGTGATCTAAAACATGGAAAGAACAATAATTTCAGTGCTACCATGTGTTACGCAAGGGCAGTGATACATTAACTTGATGGGAATGAAGCAGATACTGCCCACACAGAATTGTTGCATAAGTCTGTTGGCTTCTCTAATTAAAAGAAGCTTGTGGGCTAATGGTTCTGCAAGCAATAGCTGCACATCATACCCAACATATCTTACATTGTTTCCCAACATATAAAACCAGCACACGGGTTTTTGATGGTGGCATCTGACCTATTTAATGCAATACAGTCAAGAATTTTTTTTTTTAAATTCAAGACAGATATGGATGAAATTAGGGCTGAATTTGAGGATAAATCTAAAGTGGAAAGCAGGCATTAGAAAATGTGACTCAGAAAACTTATCTTCAAAAAAAGTTTCTATCCCTTGTGTTGTTTTGCACAGGGGAATTATACTTGCAAGGCTTATTTATCTCACGGTAACTTTGTTTTGTGTAATCTCTCTCTTTGTGTTTTTCATCCTATCCTCTTGGCTCTTTGTTTTTCTGCAGTCTTCTGGGGGGGTGTGCAACATCTGGATTTGTAATATTAAAATAATATCAAGTGGTTCCCTCAAGTTATTTTTGATGCATGAGTTTTTCTTGGAAGTTAGCATTTGTGTATGTTAAGTGTACGCACATAACTGTCACAGAAATACTGAATGCCTTTAATATTTTGGGGGCTTGGGGATTTTGATAGGTTCAGAATTATTATTTGAAATTATAAAGTTAATTATAATACTATTATGTTAGCAAGGCTAGAGCCAACAGGGAAGAATTTGCAGGACTTTGTGGATAAAATAGAATATGAAATTCAGTGTTGACAAATGTAGTGCATGTGGGAGAAAAGGGAACATTCATAATGTATATGGTTGGTTCTGAACTGAACTCAGGAACAAGATCTGAATTTGAATCTATGAAGACTTGAATTTAATGCTCAGCAGTAAAACAAAACCAAAGCAAAAATCTTAAGTGGTAAGGATCCAAAGGAAGGAATAGGGGTCAAAATGGAGAACATAATTATGTTATTGCACACCCGCATCTTGAACGTGCCACATACAGCTCTGATCTCCCTGTCTCCTAAAAAGCAAATTAGTAGCTGAGAAAGGACCAGAGAAGTGTGACAGTTGACAAAGATATTAAAAGACTTCTGTCTTTTCCAGCCTAAATGATTCTGGGTATTTAATTGAATATTGAACAGATTGGAAAAGAGTTAAATCAGGAAATATGTGATGTCTGTGAGGAGCATGAAGATTGAACTGAGGTCAGCCACCTGCCATCCTTCTGACAGGAGAGCTAAGAAGGCCTCAAAGAAAAGCAGAAGGTGCAGGTTCAAAGCAAATAGAAGTCCCTCTTCTCACCACAGATTATAGAGCTGTGGACTGCCTTGCCACAGGATGTCTTGGATCCAAAAAGCTTATGTAAGTTCAGAGAACAATGATATAAATGAACGGAAGATAAATCGATCTGGGACCATTGAATAAAAGGTGTCAGCTTTGGCTAAGGGAAGTTCTTGAAGTACAAATATGTGGAAGCTGGAAGAGTATCGCTGCCTGCTTATGTTTGAACTCTTCTTTCGGCAGTCACTAATGATTCTTGTCAGGGAGAGGGTAACGGATTAGGTGAACCCTAGGTCTGATCTAGTAAAGCTGTTTATTTGTAGCACCTGTAGCCTGCAGGCAGCAGTGTTGTGGTCACTGGTCAGTTGACCAAGGTTGTCGGGAGACTCAAAGATTTCTTCAGAGGTTACTGTGCAAAGTATCTGGGTGTGATTGAAGCAATGATGCTAGTTTTGTATCTGATAATTCTTTTTTTTTTTTAAATTCTACTGCATGAAGATTTTAAAAGCTAGAAGTCACAGATCTTTATTTGTGTTTCAAATTTTGCGCAAATTTTAAGTATTACAGAAATTGCAAGGTTCTCTGTATAGCTCTCTTCTAGCAAAACAAACAAACTAACCACTAAAAAACTTAGCGAGCAACACAAAACTCGTCAGCACCAGATCTAAAATGATACAATCAAGTAAGACTTCTAGCATCAGTCTGTGTCTAATTATGGATGCTGGATAAATACCCAGAAGAGAAGAGGTGAATCTTTTCCTACCACCTGAAGTTGGGGGCAGACTAGAAGAAAACAGCATAGCAGGTACACTCGCTTCCCGTTACTGCTTGGTACATATCCTCTACCTACTGAATACCAAGCAGTCTTCTGACTGGCATATTGTTAGTCCACCTTTAAAACAAGTCAGACAATTGACCAAGAATCATCTGACGATGACAATGGTGCCAAATGTGGTAAAGGCCTCAGCTGAAATTCTCAGCAGGGTGTGAGTCTGAACTTTCATGTGGATCCCTTATTTGATTCAGCATTCAGATCCAGTTGACTGATGCTGACTCTGTTCTGAGAAGTGTTAGAAATAAAAGGGAAACAAGATTCTGAGAAATTGGCTGTAACTGTCTTTGTGGGGGATGCCCTGGAGAATCCGTTTTGATCGTTTCAGACTGGATTTGCCAAAGCAGTAAGGGACATTCAGAAAAGTAGCTCTTGGTGGGAATATGCTAGATGTTTTCTAAGTCTTTTCCATTGCTGTTATCTGATTCTGTGGCCTGCTTAATTTAGTTTTTCAGCCTTTTAAGTCATATACGTCTGGTATTCCCAGCTGTACAGCACTCAAGGATAAATGATTACTGGAGTGTCCTTTTCATAAATCACGAGTTAATAATGTTGTCAGGTAGAAAGTCCTTTTTGTTGCTGGTTTAAGAGACCAGCAACTGTGGGAGGGATGTTTGTGCTGTGAGTTTTCCAACTTCTAAATTACTCTTTAGTTTTCTGTAAGAGCTCTGCAGCTACTTCCTAGGCTTTCAGTATTTCCCCCTCTTTGTTTTTTTTCATAGCAGTTTGTACTAACCTGTACACACTGTGCAAATTCATCGAGGTTCTCTGTGGCGTGATTTGACTTTGACCAGATGGCTTGTCCTCCTCCTGCACCTTCACGGTGCAGCATAGCTGTGGGATGAGGGAGCAGAGGGGAAGCTGCTTGGCAGCTGCGCAGCTCCGACCTGAAGTATTAGTTTCCTGCAGTTCTCTCAGTCTAGAACTAAAAGCCTTTGTGCTTCTCTCTGAGATTTGGCTTGCAAAAATGCAAACTGGAAACCTCGGGTTTAGTACACTAGTAAGTTTTTTGTTGGTGGTTTTTTGTGGGTTTATTTTTTTGGGTTTGGGGGTTTGGGTTTTTTCCCCTCCCAAAGAGGAAAATTTAGAGACAGCTTTTTTTAAATGACTGAACAAGTGTGTGTTTCTTAGTGTTTTTCACCTGTGTGCAAAACTTTATTCCTCTTGTTTCTGTAAGATAGCCTTAGACGTGAAGCACTGTAATTTTTGACAGGGGTTTGTGTCTCTAAACTGTCTCGGAATTTCCTTTGCCTTGCATGTGGATGAAAGTGGGCACTAAACTACTTTCATCCTTAAGGCAGTTACCTTAAGCTCTTTATTCACCTGTCTGGTCACCCCATCAACTTGAACATCCCCTGCAGCCCCACACCCTGTTCTGAACTAATTGCCTGCCACTCTGGGAAAACAACTTTTCTCCTGCTTTGCCATGTTGCAGAGTGACGAGGAGAGCTGCTGGTATTTCAGCTTTCTGAAGAAGGTACAGAGATGTTTTCTCCAGGAGATAGAGCCAAGCTAGAAGTAACATGAAAACAGTACTAAAATACCAGTCACAATTTATGACCCTTACATCGGAGAGGGTGCATAGCCTCTGTAATCTGCAATACAAAATAAACTGCTAAGGGAAAAGTGTGATTTCACCTTTTTCATCAAAACTACCTTTCTCCTCCACAGAGTCAATGACACATCCTTGCACAGTATATTTGATGACTTCCAGTAAATCTTTGCAACTTTGGCCTCAAAACCAAACAGGCTACCAGTTTATTCCTTGCTGCCATTGAGGCAGCAGAACAGCAAAGTGGGAAGCTTGGTTCCAGTTAATAGCAGTTAATGATCCTACTGAATCTTTTTCTGCTTTTTTAGTCAAGAATGTATTTATTATTTATTCCACTAAAGAATCTAGTTAGTTGTATTCAAACCAGATGGAAATAGGTAACAGATCTTCTTAATTGCCTGGTGATCTTGTGGGGAGAGGTGAGGTTGTTGGGCTTGTTGTTTTTTTATTGTGCAGAGATCCCAGAAGTCCCCAGTTGTACAGCTAATTTCATTTTTTACTGTTAGTTTCCCCCCTCAAATATGTTTTTCTGAAGTCAGCACAGTTGATCACTGTGGAACAATGCATCGAGGAAGGCCCTTGCAGAGACATATCTAGAGAGGTTCGTTCATCTTCCAAGACTTGCTTACTTTGTTTGAAGTCCGTGCTACCTGACTTAGCTTAGATGATTTTGGACCTAGGCTCACATAAGAGAGGGGCACGGTGATGACGTGCTTGTGAAGTCAAGCGTTGGAATTCAGGAAAAAGGCCTGCTCCTGGATTGCTGTAGGAATTAAATTTTGGTTTGGTTTTGTTTGTTTTGAACTTGCACTGAGTATAGGGGCAAGAACAAGTTAATTTATCTTTTTAAAAAAAAAATCTACTTGATAGCCAGTTGTTTCATGCACATAGCATTGCTCCTAACCTTAATAAATTCTGATCCAGAAGCATTGTGAGTGTATGTTTTGCCCGTGGTGTCCTGGTCCTAGCTTTGCACAGGGCGAGCTTAGTCTCCACACTAGCAGGGCCATGCTGCTTCCAGACTCAAGCTACCTCTGAGATCAGTTTGGTGGCATTATCTGTTTAACGCTGATCATGTGGCAGCAGTCCTGAACTAAAAAGGTTGATGGATCTGATTTGTTTGTGGACAAAGTCAGTCAGTCTGCAACCTGAATACATCATTTACTAATAACCGAGCAATGACAATATCAATTTTACCTGGTGAGTGTTTTATAAATACTTGCATGTGAGATGTGTGCTATTATTTAAAACAGATGCTGGCATGAATATGAGTGGGTCAGGGCTCTACATTTTTGAAGGACACTAAAGAGTTCAGAGTTTCTGGCATGGATTTGTTTGGGGTTCTACTTTTTTTTTTTTTTTTTCTGAAATGATACATGGCTATAAAACACAGTGGAAGTGTTTCTTAGTAGGAGAGCTCTTGCATTACAGATGAGGACGACTACTTTTTTGAGGCAGGGCATGCTTTTCTTTGTACTAGTTTTTCATAGCATTCACTGCAGAGAAAATTGGATGGTGACATGATCTTTGTGCTCCTACTTGTGCATGTTAATACAGGAAAGAGTACTTTCAAGTACGGGTGTTCCCCTTCATCTTTGTTTTCCCTTGTTCATATTTTCACTTCACTTTCTGTTCCATTTATCTGTAGCAATGTTGTCAAAATTTCTTTGGTGTTTTTTTTTTTTTTTTTTTTTTTTCTGAAATGATACATGGCTATAAAACACAGTGGAAGTGTTTCTTAGTAGGAGAGCTCTTGCATTACAGATGAGGACGACTACTTTTTTGAGGCAGGGCATGCTTTTCTTTGTACTAGTTTTTCATAGCATTCACTGCAGAGAAAATTGGATGGTGACATGATCTTTGTGCTCCTACTTGTGCATGTTAATACAGGAAAGAGTACTTTCAAGTACGGGTGTTCCCCTTCATCTTTGTTTTCCCTTGTTCATATTTTCACTTCACTTTCTGTTCCATTTATCTGTAGCAATGTTGTCAAAATTTCTAGAATGTAATAAGCTGTGTAATATTCTTACAGTGCTGAAGCTATTTTTAACTATAAACAGGGGATCTGAATCAACTCAAAATAAGCTGACAAAAATTGCTTTATGAGCCAGAGGGTGGAGGAAGTCTAAAGTACGAGATGACAGTACAAGATGTGCTTTGCCAAAATGGTCTGTCATTCTGAAACAGTATTTCCCTGTCAAACTGTATTAGTATATTATTACAATTTTAAAACACAAACAAAACCCCCTAACTTTTACCTTGAGTGATGCTGAAAAATTTTGATCCACCAGTTGGGTGATGTGCATGCTGATTGAGATTTTTTTTTTTTTTCTTACCTATGCCTGTCTGTGCTGCAGGTTTGTCAATATTAAGTGCAGATACAAGAACCTTAAAAGCAGTGAGGAGTAGGTTTAAAAAAAACAACCCCCTTTTGTATCACTAACCACATCAGAAGAGATTTTGAAAGTTTATTGGGCGTGCTTATCCGTACATGTTCTTATTTTAATCAGGAGTATTTGAAATGCCTTTTTTCCTAATTAATTTAAAACAGCTTGATTACAGTGTATTTGTTAACTGTCTTATAGTTTCTGACTTATCCTGTTTTGCTCTTCTAGAAGGAGTTCTGGAAAGTCTACAAAAATGGACTTCAGGGAGAAAGTAACACAGGACATACCTGGTATTCATTTTACCTTGCATTTCCATTAATCATTGGCCTTTTTGTTATCCTCATTGTCATTTTTGTCATATGGAGATGCCTGTTTAAAAAGAAAATGCGTAGACAGTCGGTGTACGTGCATAGGGGAGCCCACGAAGCGATGGGTGATGGTGCTGTGGCTGATGGCAGAGGTCCACTTCCGCCGCCTCTCAGCATTGTTCATTCCCCACAGGAGGAAATGTATGAAGTCAGTGGGCTCTCTCCAGGAGGTCTGAGCTATGCGGATGGACGGTCAGACTCAATATCCACAAGGCTCTCAAACTGTGATCCTCCTCCTTCATATGAGGAAGCCACTGGTGAAATCAGTATGAGAAGTGAAACTGAACAACATTTAGATCCACCCCCACAATACGAAGACATTGTGAATTCTGGTTCAGCCAGTGCAATTGCACTATCTCCTGTTGTCACCAGTAATAAGTAAAGCAAGAAGATTGCCATGGACTTTTTAAAAATGACTAATCATTTTGTAGCACTTTATCTTGGCTTATTATGCATTTCTGTAATTTAACGGACTTGTACAATGAACTTCAGTTTTGTTTTAGATTCACTCGTTCTTTGGGTTTGGGATTTTTTCCACTACGGCAGGTCTTAAAAGATAAGGAATCTGTATTGAGAGTGTAGTGCAGGTACAAATGTGGTGCTCTGTCATACTTCCCAAAAGTACCTCTGCTTTGAGGGGTGTCACTTGTTTTATTCAGAAAGTTGTTCACATGCCTCACAAGATTTGTGGAATCCCCCTCCCCTTTCTCACTGAGGGCTGTCAGAATTGCCTGAAATAGCAACGCTTAAGCAACACTTTAGATAGTTCTTTACACTGAAGGGGACTGATTTTGCAGTATTGCCTCTTGTCTGGCTAGTTCCTTTTTCTCACTTGGGTTTTTTTTACACGCTGCACCCCATCCTGGGCCCTTGGAAGGCTGAGAGCAGTATGCCTTTGTGTTCAAACCAGTATCTCATTAAGAGTATGCTGGCATAATAGCAATAACTTCAGAGTCCTAGCAGAAGAGGTGTGTTCTAAAGCTTTTGCTATTACAACTCAAAATTCTGTAAATGTTTGGAAGCTAACGATTCAAGATACTAATTAGTGAATTTAATAGCATACTTTTTTTGTCTGTGTTCTGTTTTTACTTGTGTATTCTAAAGGTGAGAATCGTGCATATGTCAACTTTAGAACTTGAAAGTTCATGCAACGGTAAATAATGAAGTACGGCAATACTTAAGAATGGATACAGTCCTGATCATAGTCTTCGTACCATAGTCCTCATTGGGTAGCAGGATATTATCCCTAAACACATAAAGCCAAAGGTATTACTTTCCTTTTTAAAAGGGGAAAAAAGGGAAAGCGTTCAGTGTGTGTGACTTTTTTCCCCAACTATGAAATAAAAACCCTTCCTCAAATCCTGATACTCTTTTGCCACTTGCGTACTTACATGTACCATGTGTGCACCTTGTGTTGGTGGCTATGGAAATCCTTTGCAGAGAATATAGATACCTTTTTTCAACAGCAAATACATTTATTGCTTATCCATTCCAACAAAGGTGCTTCTGTCGGAAAAGTTAACAATATGTTATAATGAAATAGAAACAATGAAAAATGTAAGTAGTTTTAAGAACAATGTAGTGCTTTTATCCATTACATGAATCCTTAAAGCGCACTCTGCTCTCGGTGTACACAAGCCTTTTTTTCACAGCTCTTAGGTTGCAGGTGCCTGTCAGAGTATAAGGTGCTGGGAAGCTCCAGAAGTTGTGTGGCCAGCCTGGCTCTGCTGTCTCCAGTTGTGAGCTGTGGAGCCCACCTGATGTGGGGCAGAACCGTGAGGACCCACCATGTTGTATTCCTAGGAGCACAGTGCAGGCATTACCCCCAGGCATTAGTCTGGAGTGACTTTTTGAGGCTGAAGAGACGTGGATTTCTGTCAGACTTGACGCAAGTTAGAATAGAGGCTTGCACAGAATTTGAACCAACTGGTTTAGATGCTGATGATAGTTCAGCTGCTGCAAGCTGTAGCGTGGGGATTCTCCCAGCTTGATTTAAAAGTTCATTGCTCAGTTTAGCTTGTGAATTTCATTTCAGTTTTCTTTCTTCCCAAGAAGGTACCAAGGTAGCGTGGCATTAGCTTTTAGTATTGTTCTGTGTTCTACTAATGAATTAGCACCAACTGAAATGTGTTTAGCCCTGAAGGACTACTATTATGTTGGCTTTCTTACTACAGAAACCCAAACTCCATCTTGTTCCAAAGACCTCAAATGAAATGACAGTGCCATCCCTTTGAAATTGCTGTTAATGTCCAAGGTGTGTGTTGGTGTCTACCATATCATGGGGGCTTGCCCCATCTTTTTCCTAAGGAATTTTACAGAAAACTGCTGAAAAGTATGGTCATACATGGGTGTGTATATGCACACTTCTGTAAGAATTTGATATAATGCATTGACAAATGAAGTAAGGATTTTATGATAAATTTTTATGTTCTCATTTTTGGCAAAGAGTAGGTTGCCTAAGTTGTCTACTGGGGATCATCAGTTGCTAAGGCAGGTTGTATTAGAGTTAATGGATGAACTTCAGGCCAAACTGTTGTCAAAAAAGATAGCTCATTTATATTTATTATTTATAATACATACTGGGTAGATAAGTACAATATGGTTTGGACACTTGTAAGAATTACCTGGGTCTTGTTTTTGGCCTGCCTGACCTTTTTTTTTTTTTTGAAGTGGTTTTAGCTCTTGTATGTCCTGAATTGTCACTTGTAGAAGTTAAAGCTCCTTTTATACTGAGCAACAGTTAATACACTGCTTTAGGCAGACATTACCGAAACAAAGTGCCTCATCTCAATGTGCAGGAACCACCTCAAAAAGAGCTGGTATTTCAATGTCCATGCCATATTGGCATCTCCTGTGCCTGCCAGCACAGCTAGTAGTTTTAGCAGTAACTTGTTTTATTTGGATATAAGACTTCCCTGTAGGAAATGCATGGAGATCACCCATTTCACATTAGGTCATGAAGCAGCTGTTGTCATCCCCTGAACATGGGCAGTCTAATTTAGAGATGAGCTGGCTCTTCTTGGTTGTTTTTTTTCTTTCTTTTTTTTTTTTTTTTTTTTTTATTACTCTGTATTCCACTACAACTTTTAGTGGCTTTATGTTTCTGGCTCTTGAGTCGAGTGTGTTGCTGTATCCTGTAGATACCTTTATGTGCAATGCAAAAGTGATGCTTGTCTTTCCAAAAAACCCACAACCAAATATCTACAATGGTCTAGGAATTTATTGGGCTATGTCTTTTCAATGTACATGAGCATGAAGACATTGTGGGCTATAAACATATGTCTTGGTGAATAAATTTCAAAATTAAAGAAAACTTGGTGGAACAGTTATCTAAATGTATTTCCTCTGAGACATGAACAGCATTCTCCATGTTGTAATAATGTCAAATTGCAAACTATTTTGTTCAGTTTTGTGAAATGTAGGAAAATACCTTAGTCTTGTGGCTGGCTTTTCTAACCTGATTGAAAAATAAAATTTCAATTGTACTGGGTTTTTATACAGCTTTTTTTTGCAGATCACTTAGTAGTTTTACCTATCCTGTAATTGCAGTGTTATGCAATAAACACTATAAATTTGTAGTTGTACCTCTCTAACGGTTTTGCAAGTCTGAACGCAGTACTATCTCGACTGATGACATGAATAGTCAGGATACTGCCTTTCCCCCTTCTGAATGTAACATTGAGTTTCATCTTGTATTAGGATTGAGATGATTTATCTACTAAAACTAGCTTAAATATGTGTCGCTGTTTTAAGAAATTATGGAAATTAATTATTTACTTAGATGATATTTAGCATTAGTGGAGGTTGTTCTGTCTTCACTGGTTGTAAATAACCTCTGATTACAGTATTGCATATTTTAAAGGGGTTTGGTTTACATTAAATTATCCTATTTAAACAATTTTGCCTATGTTTATAGAAAATTTTTTGTAACGTTTGTTTTTGGATATGCTAAATAAAGTTTTTTAAGATGCCTCATGTTTCAAAATATCAGCTCTACAAAACTGCAGTGTATTTAAGTGATGCTCTTTTCATTTCCATTGTTTTATGTACTTGATCATTTGCAGTGAATCGGTTGTTTCGATAAAATATATTCTTTCAACATTCAGGCTCACTTTTAATCAGATTTGTGATTTTGTTTATTTTCCATTTTTTAAAAAAAGCATTTGTTGTAGCCATAGCTAAATAACCATCGCAGGCAGAGGGAAAGCAGAAATTGTTACAACAAAATGAAACAGTACACCATAGCAAAAAAAGCTTAAGTCAGGGGACTTCGTTTCAAAGTTGGCTTCAGCCATTTGAAAGGAAGTGGTTGCAGAATTTTGCATCATGTGAATGAGTAGCGAACAAGAAAAAAAGCCCCTTGTGTAATGGTCCTTGCTGGGAACTAAAGATCTCCATTCCAGTCAAGACAAATGTTCAGCAGAATGTGTCCCTGGTATTTTTTCACTAGCTCCCTGCATAGCTGGAGGCTGTTGGAGATGTTAGTGAAGCCCGACAGGAGGCATGTAGTTTAGAGTTTCATGAACACGAGTGCAGTTTTGTACATAACAAAAAACCACAATAAAAACATAATAAAAAACAGTTTTGTACATAACAGAAGTGCAGGAAGAGTCACACAGAGCAACAGAGCGTGTGTGACTTTCCAAGCCATCGTGTGCGTCATGTAGCACCCTGCTCCCCTCGGCCAGCTTGTATGTGCGCAGCTCAGACCAAGGCCGTCCCAACAGAACACTCCCCGTTGGGTTAAGCGGCATTCGCTGTGCAGGGACACGTTCAGCATCCCGAGCCTACATCCATCAGCACTGGCTAACGTGGTTGCACATGGTTCAGTGCATGATTGCCTCTGCATGCCCGGCATGCAGCTATTGGAACGTGGTGGGTATAATGTTAAACTGGTATCGTGAATCTCAGGGTCTATAAAAATCAAATCGTCGTGCCAGGTTACTAGTGATGAATGTTCATTATTTATTGGTTCATATGCCCTGAACACTGGTCTCTGCCACTCTAAATCACACCGATAGATTCCTTTTTATCTTCTGCATAATGTGAACTTTCTAAATATTTCCTAGTGCTACTGGCTTGATTTTTAAAGGGAAGAAAACCCATGTTCAGCTGAAAGCAGTGAGGTGACATCTGTACTATTTCGTTGCTCGCTTGATTGATTTGCTACAGGGTGATTGAGCTTTACCAGAAAGTTGAACTACACTTTTCTTCTGCAGCAGGATCTCAGTAATTGTATTTTTGATTTGGCGGTGAGTTACTGAATGCTAAGCAACAAGTCAGTGCGGGAAGGGCCTTGCGTATATTCTCTTGGTTGTATATATTACCCAGCATTTGCTTACCATTAGCTCTCTGCATCAACATTTGCTGTAACATTAGGAC